ACCCAGTTATGCGGTCATTCGTAAAATTGGTTCATGAATGCAGCGCTCTTGTAATTGGATTTTCATCGCACGTAAAGGTATGCACAAAAACATTGAAATATTTCTTAGAAAATAGAATATTTGAACAGCGTTGAGTCGACCTCTTTGGACAATTTCTGAGTTTATTTGCTAGACTTCGATTAAGCTGTTCTGTAATTGAAAAACAATCGGTACTTTTTATTCAATTCAAAAGGATAACCAATCTTGTTAGGGTGTTCCGGGATGTCAAATCTTTGGCTAAAATCTAATTTGGCTGTGATATTAATTCTTTGGAATACCCAGTGTATTTTTATCATTTATCGTCTAATTAGGATATTGTAACGAGTCCGCATAGTACGTTATTAAAATTCTGTTAATATTAGGTGAAGAGTGATCTGTTTTTAAATTATTTTGAAATGAGAGTTGGGTAATTCAATCCCAGAGAACATTGGCTTTTTGCCGTATTATAAAAGCAATAATGCATTACGCGTGGCATTCTCACAAACTGCCAAAGAGAAGCCGCAAGCGCGAACGCCGTTCAGTTTACATAAAAACATCGGACCAAAGAAGAATTACAAATACACTTTCCTATAAATGTACACCTAGTTTGTTATCTGAAACAAATCTCGCAAGATCAAGACCAATTTATTTTCTGGAGCCGATTATAGTGAAAGATGTTGACGAGTTTCTGATCATTCCAATAGTTCCTTCTGCCCTATGCTCATTTGAATCATAGCTTCCCTCAGGTTATTAGAAATTGGCTCTGCAGCAGTAGTTGTATTATCTGATATGAAGTAATATGCAAAGATAAGAATTATGGAAGAGGACACAGGCCTTCCAAGAATGAAACCAATGCCTGCCGTATGACATTTTGAGTGGCTGATGTGTTGTACTAACAATATTCTGACGGGTGTCCTCGCCAGCCATGTCCAGCGAATATTAGAACGCCTCTTCAACTGGCGTGGTCTTCTGAGTTTTTCCGTCTCCATCGGGACTGTGATCGTTCACGGATATCAGCTGATTACTAGCGAGAAAGAGGTTTTATCAAACTTGAGCTGCCTCACACCGTGAAAATTGAAAATGGTCGAGTCAATTTGTGAGAGCCAGTATCTCAAAGTCGAAGTCGTTTTCGAGTTGATATTTCTTAGTTGCTGGAGAAAATCAGAAATGAAACTAAAAAAAAATGCATCGCTGTGACTGTAATAATGATACGTGTTCGCGCTGTCATCTTATCATGCATGAGCAGGTTTCTATTCTCTAATTTGCAATCCTTGGCATTAGCTGGACAAACTACCCACGCATGCTGATAATAATAGCACCTTATTAATGAAACAAAACTCACTAGAATAAAGAGGTCAATCCTTGTCTTCGGCTTTTGTTGTTGGATTCTTTCTCGATGTCTTTTTTTCCAAATGAATCTTGCCGCTGTTTCTTGCTTAATCTGGGATTCTTTTGATGAAGGTTCCTAATACGTTTTCGAGTAGGTCTTTTTTAAATCTGCCCCTTTCACATGGCAAACGTTGTGCGACATGCCTGACCATGAGGCATTTCGTGATCGAGGTGTGCGTCAACTTTGGTGAAAATCTCAGAAAGTGCACGTAATCTTTGTGCACTGCCACAATACATGTATCTTCGTTTGGTTCTCT